TATATATGTAGTTAATTCAGAAAATAAAATCTTTTCAAAAGGTTGCAATGGCCTGAGGTCCTTATTTTACTGAGATAGCAAAGCATTTCAAAATGGGATGCAGATTTTTAGATTTGGAGCTTTTCAAGAAAATGAGGTCCCAAAGAGCCRAAGGAAAAACCTGAGCTGATCCCCRTTCAGATCCTGTGTGATTACTTAAATCCCTGGCTGCCGAGTCGCACATTTCCAACAGTTTGTTAGCACTACGTGGTTGTGTTTATTGGATAGTCCACTAGCATCTGATTTCAGAGAGTGACTGTAACAAAAGTCTGGGTGAAGTGAATTGTGTGATCAGTGCTGGAGCCCTGAGCTGGAAGTTGCTGTGAGAAATGCTGTCTTTCTGCAGAGTAGCCACGGCAAGCTGCAGCCTCTCTCTCGGGGAGGGAAGACACTACCTGTTAATCACTCTTTGGCAGTCTGTYAGGGGATGGCACTACAACCCAAGACAGGAGACTCATGTGACTAGTGACTAAAAAAGTGCTTTTGCACAAGGTGAACAGTAGAGCTCAGTAACAGATCTGCACCTCCTGAAGTATTAAATCTTCTTCATGTGAAGGTAGCCACCCCTTCAGCATCCACACTCCTGTGGAGCTTGCCTTCTCAAGCACACTGGCCCAGCTGCCCAGCTCTCCCTACCTCCCCAAACATCARCACCTTTATCTGGCACTTGGAAAATGTCTCCCCTGATGTCTGGCCATGTGGGCGATCGGTTGTTTAAGTGCTGAGCAGAAGGGAGATGGTGGAGGGAGGCAGGAGCTGAGAGAGCTGGAGCTGAGGAAGAGCAGGGCCACCATGAGGAGAGAGAGGACCTTCTCTGTTTGAGGCACAGCGCATCTGCATGAGTGACAAATTCCCTCAGGAGAGCAGGGGTGGGCAGGAGAAGCTGAACTATGACTCAAAGCATGTAAAGATGAAAAAAACCCAACAACTTTGAACTGCTGTTTAGGATTACATAGGCGTTCAAGGCTTCCCGCACTTTCATAGATAGGAYCTGCTTTCCCAGATAAAGTCTTTAGTGGCTCAGATGTAAAAAGCTGAGGAACTCTTCAAACAAAGTAGCTGTGTTTTGATTTGGTGCAAACAAGAAGAGAAGTATCCAGAAATAGCTGAGGCTTTGAAATGCTGATTTCAAATATCATGTGCTGCCATTCAACTGTCCTATCATAACAGGGTAGAACGAAAGACAATTTCCCTCGCTATACACGTACAAAAAATATATAAACAACCAGAAATAAAAATCTACCTCTGAAAAGGAGGGTTTTCTTTTTTTTTCCCTTTTATTCTATTTTTATTCCCCTTTTCCTTCTATATTTTTCTTTACATCAGGAAGACAATAGGAGTATTTATTATGTCAGCTACAAAGGATATCCAGTTATCATTTCTCTACCACTAGCAGTTACCTGAATTCACACCACAGTTTCAACAGTCTGCTYATATAGGACACTGCTATAAAATTGCTATAAACATTCATTTCCACGTGCCATGAGTAGGTGAGGAACAGAGATCTGGGGTGGCATCTGTGCTGCAGTCAGAGCCAGAGGCAGAGCAGGTACAGGCATCCCTGTGCGATCTTTAATCTCCTTTATTTTTTTCCTAGTTTTCCTATGGGCTTGTATCAAAGGCAACAAGTTGTAATGACAGAAGAAAACAGATTTAAACATAGCCTTTTGGAGTCTATGACTAAAATTGATTTTGGAAAAATAATATTATGGCTTTCTGATTTATGYAACTCTACAATCTTGGCAAATAATTTTTAAGCTGTGTTAACTGGAGACCATTGGTGGCTCCTCCTACAAGGTATGTAGTGTTTCTGGGATCCCTGTTTGGAGAACTGAAACTTTTAAACTTCCTGAAAACTCAGCCAAGCAATTTTTATTTGAAGGAGCACCACCATTAATGTCTGTTAGGCTCCTACCACAGGCAAATTCMCTCTTTCAGGCATGTAGTTGTTGGTAGCCCTGGTATGGCAGTAGCAAATCACACCTTCTGCTGTGAATTTGCAGTTAAATTATTCTCCAAGTTAAAATTTAAGGTATTWTCTGAAACTGTTATTGTCTACCTGGATATCATATTTTATTTCATAGCACAGATCTTAATAAATGGGTGATGAATGCATCACATTATCTTCTAAGTTATTTCTTCTGCYCCAAAATAATATAACTACAAGACGCTTGCAACCTAAGGGCAGTGCACTGAAAACAAATGGAAAGAATTGCTATATTGCATTGTGCATAGTCTTGTGCCCTCGTTGCAATGGGATGTAATTGTATAAGCTACTGTGCTGTTAGATTTCAAAAGGCTGGCTCATAACCAGTAATAACATTTGTGGCAATCTGAGCTAAGTTAATGAAAAAGATAATCAAATCTAATGCTACAAGGCATGATATCTGATATCTCTAGGGGTCATAAAGAGACCGTACAATTGAGCAGGAGAAATGGAAGGAGGTGGTTGTATGTGCGAAGGGCAGAGGAGACAAGAGCACAAAAATGAGGGTCACCTTGCTCAAAAGCACTGTGTGCTGGTCCCCAATGGAGGCGAAAGAGCATGGGCTAGATGGCTCATGGAGTTAGAGGTGCTTATCAAACTAACGATATTTTCAGTAATGCCAGTACCTGATGAAGTTTCAACTGATTCCAGACATGTGTCTCTATCCATTGACTGGGAGATTGGATTAAGTAGTTTACACGTGTTTCTTCCTTGTCCACAGCAGATAGGCACCGAGTTAGTGGCTGATCATGGATGGCATTTGAACACTCTTTGTTTTTGTATTTCAGCACATGTTAACTCTAATCTGAAACTCACTTCTAGTTCTGGTGCTAGAAGTATAGAACATATATATTTTATATATATTATATATATATATAGAGAGAGAGAGAGAGAAAGAGAGAGAGAGAGAGAGAGTGGAATATATATATATATTATTGTACCTCTGGAAAACAACCCATGGTCACTTTCTTCAGCTTCTAACTAAATTTATTGCAAATTGTCCATGTGAACACTTTCACCAGTACATATTGGTTATGTCACTCAAGTGTTCAAATGGCAGTGACTTTTGTGCTGACTAGTAGCAGAATTAATGGAAATATTCCTTGTGTGTGTGTAACTGGTAACGTTCAGAAAGAGATACATGAGGAGTACTTCTATTTACAGATATCATTCAAAATGTGTTTTCTCACATAGACTTGAACAGAATTTATTACAATTGCCTCCTTCATCCTACTCTGTTCKTTTATAAATTCCCCTTTTACATTCTTCTCTCCCAGTCACGCTCTCCTTTAAGCAGGTGCATTTCTGGGTAATGTGAAAAATCTCATGCTGAGCCAAAATCCATCTGAGGCCACCGAGCACTCTGGTTGTGGCCAAAGGGAAATGATTAGGAAAGGACAGAAGACTGAGGACTACACAAAGAAATCTCTGCTTCAGTGTATCTTCTCAGGTTTTGCCAGTTAGAAGTTTAGAGACTTACTGAAATAGGAGTTTAAATATGTTTGAGTATTTGATGGCTAATTCAACTTCATTAAATAAATTGGATCATTTTCTTGAATGTCATAATATTGTTGATATCCCATAGCATCTTGTAAGAAGTCCTAGAATTCTCTGCTAAAATAGTGTTAGAAAAGCACAAGTAGGAAAGATGTGAAAAAGATTGGCTTTGGATGCTTCCTGGCCATTCAGTCTCTTTCTCATCAAATTCTGTATCCTTGTGTTGCCAAAGTTCACCCCATAGAGATAATAATTTGAGTATTTGGTGCCTTTCCTACCATTTACATTCCAGGTCCTAGGCTTCAAGGCCTTACAAAAATAAAGAATACATTTGTAATAAAATTGTTTCTATTTATCATTGCATTTATCTAAAGTTTGGAGGGAAGAAAATTCCACTAGTGCATTAAGRAAGGTGATGAAAATCCATTATACATAAATTGACTCTTTCCATCCATATCTCCCCACAGATCCTCAGAGCTTCATTGTGTTTATATTTTGAATATCCATGATATGGAGTTACTGCAACTAAATCAGATTTTAATAAAACAGAGTATTGTGGGATTTCTGTGGGTCTGAAGTTCAAGTTACCAGTCCTGAATATATAGCAGCTGATATAGGTTTTGCTTGAGTTAATACTTAAGGGACTTCCATTTAGCTTTCTTTCTCTTCTCTACAAGAGAAAAATTAATATCTCATCACCTCTGAGAAAGTCAAAGTTATTCCAGAAGATAGAGGGATTACAAAGTTCCTAGCACTGCAAACAGAAATAGTTATCTCAAACAACAGGATTGAGCCTTCTATATTGCTTTTTTATTCTCCTTCAGCACAGACCAGCCTCTCTGCAGAATGGATTCTCAGCTGCAAAGCATCCAGATGCTAACTTGTGTGCATGTGAATATTCAAGGTTAATGGAAATATATTCCTTGCGAGAAAAACAGTTGGTGGCAWTCAGACTACGTTCCTTTTTCCTTCTCTGACATGAAGTAGAATGTTGAAAATCTGATAAAACCCATTCTTCTTATATGAACGAAATTACTGTTTCTAATTGGGATTAGGTGAAGTATTCTTCCTCCTGACTGGATGGCCAGCAGGCTAGAGAAACAGATTTAAATATTTGCTCTAAATCAAAGATAGAGAAGATAATTTTATCTCTTTCTCCCGTGTGATAATTGTTGTCTTTTGTATTCATGTGCAGTGTACATGTTTTTTTTCTATGTTTTTTACAGGAAAGCCAAATTCATGCAGATGATCCAGATTGGTATATGTACTGGAGAAAAAGAAGGGGAAGATTTGTGGTTAAAGTTTTAAAGTGGGTGGCCCTCTTAGTCAGAGGTAGGTGCCTATCTAGCATCAGTTTGACCTAAGTCAACTTCTGTTTGTCCTATGATGGTCTTGTCCTAGTTCTGGAGGATACTCAGATCCATATYACATGGTGTCCATAACTTGTATGGAAGGACCAGGACCTATCTTGGACTGAAGGGCTGCGTGATGAGGTAGGATGCACTGCCACAGTAATGAAGTATTCTGTACCTGAGGTGGGTAACACCCACCGTGGGTCCAAGCTGGGAGACAGTTTCATTTTGCCTTTAAGCACATCTWGGTGGAACATGCATAGTTCAGTAATCTTTATGGCCTGCAGAAACTAGTGAGGTCCTTGTATGAAAAAAGACACRTGCCTGGACTATCAGCCACACAATCTTTGTACATAGCCAAGTGATATGGCCTGACTTGGCCCCTTGAATGCCATAAGTTCCTTTGCTTGCACACCAAGGCAGCCTTTCATTTGTGCTTCAGATGCACAGACCTCTCCTCTAAGCATCTGACTGTACCCCCCCAAAGCATGTGAGGGCAGAGAGCACATGGCAGGGCCCCTTTGGAGTGTCACTGTTTAGTGGGACCGCTATGAGTGTGCTCAGTGCTGCAAAACTGGGGATCCAAAATATGTGAGTGACCATGACATGAGTGAGACCTTGTCAAGACAAAACCTCAGCACACCCCAATTTTGCCTCTCCCACTTGTGCTCTGCTTTCTGCAGAGACAGGGTAGAGGACTGTGGTTCACACAGTCCCTTACCCTCAGTGGGCTTATCCAAGTGCAGACAAGCTTGTTATGGACACGGGGACTTCAGAGCTGGCCTGTGCAGAGTGAGATAAGGCTTGGCAGGGTTGGTGCTTAGTCAGGACTAAAAAGGACGATTGGCACATGGTCAGTATTTGCTGTAGTGTGCTCTCCAGCACGCCCCTTAGCACCCATTGCCATCTGATTTTTCATTATCCTGAATGTCCCAACTGTCCCACATAAAGAGACTGATTCAATACTGTGGTATTGATTCAGTTCCCAAGCAGCTGACTCAGAAGAAAAAAACAGATTAAACATTTAAACATTGACCATTCCTGGATTACACCAGACTCCTACCACTTTATAAGCCTTCCTTTGATAAGATAAATGAATTAGAATGTTAAAATTCACTACAATATAGATGCTTCAATCCTCAAACCTTTTTTTGTTTCTATTCCCTGAAATTTCCMGTTTTCTTCCAAAACTTCCAGAATGGATAGAGGGTTCTGCAAATAATCTCATTCATGCTTCATACAGAGGTAACTCTACCAGTTATTTGTTTTATTGGCCTGTTTATACAGCCAAAGGTTACTCTATAAACTCATGTTCAATTGATCGTATTCCACTTTCCCARGATACATGTAGTTGGACTAGAAACTATGAGTTAATCATTAAGGAGAAGTTGTCAGTTTTAAAAAGTCACATTCCTAATTCTTATACTCGTTACTCTAAGTACGATTATTAGAATCTACAAAACCAAAACAGTCATGGGGGAGTGGTTTTTCTTGGTCTGATGTTTTGAAGTTGGGTTTTTTTTTTCATTTTACAGCCTCTATGTATTCGTATATGGACAGTGCCTCTGCTCGCAGTTTCTTCCCTGCACGAGACTGCAGGGACAGTGGCTGAGAAGTGAAAGCAGAAGAGAGGCTGAGGAGCAAACCCTCCTTCCTTTTCTGTAGCTGAGTCCACCCCTTTCTGCTTACTGCCTTTCTGCTGTTCCCATTCTCTCCTCCTTTTCTCAGGAGAGCAAATATTGAACTCGGAAAGACAGCTCCACATTTCCATAGACATGGTATTCTTTTCCTCCCTGACCCCAGTCTTTATAGCTATTATATGTGTTTTGATTGGAGTAATACTGAAGAAGAATAATGGAGAAAGAGGAAAACATGAGATTAAAAGCAAGCCTCCATCTCGCCCATGGGTGGATGAAGACTTAAAAGATGGCTCTGACCACCAAGTAGAGGAAGAAGGTAAGAAACATATTAACCAGGGGAGTAATTTAGATGTCTGAATTTGATTTGCTGTTATGAATAAAGGAGGTGTGATCCTGGACCTCCCCAGGATGGTGGGGTGTACTGTACTAGTGCTACATTGCTGTCGTGCCTTGAGCTCATCAGCTCTGGGGAAGGAGGCACTGCAGGTGCAGTCTTGGTCCTTGTGTAAATCTCTRTTTCCTTCAGATTCCACAGGTTGGGTTGCAAAAGAAAAAAAGCAAGGAGGAATCTCTCTTGTCCTGCCCAGAATACCTCATAACTATGAAGCACTCTGTGGAGAAYATAGGAAAGAAAGGGGATTCTGCTAAAGCCCCCTCCCTTTCCCCTGTCCTCATTAATAAGGGAAAGGGAAAAAACAAGCATTAAGTTTCTGTCTGCATGTTAGTTTTGTGGATATCTTATCCAACCTACCTTCCCGTGCTAYATGGTACAGTCTGTGTTTGATCTCTGCATTCACAAAAGAGATGGGAATGGATTTATTCCACTTGTCTGCTCATTTTCATGAATTGTTTCTRCTATCAAAATATGTGTTCAGTTTTCATTCCTGAAGTACCTGCTATGTGATCTCTGTGAATATCTGCGAGAGCTCTATCTGGTTTAGAACTGGGGTCATTTTGGAGGCAATCTGTAAAATTTTTAAGAACAAAATGTGGTGATGATCTAATCTCTGTTCACCCAGCTGCATATCTGCACCYGTACAGAATGTCCTTTCCCACAGCATTGACTTTAGTTGTAAAACTGTGACATAAGTATGAGCATAAAATATCCTCTTCATATTTTTTCCCCTTCACTATCGTGCATAAGCTCCATTAATTTTCTTGTAAAGTCAAGTTTTGTTCCTGTAATGCTTTCAACTTTCAACACAACTTTCTCTTTTTTCCCCCCTAATGTTACTTTTGAAAGCTTTTTTCTCCCTAATGACACATTCCCCAAGTCAACTTCTAGGAATGCTGGCACTTAAATTGTTTTYCTTAGCAATATGCCTGTTGCTAAGAAACATTATTTCTGTTGAGTGAGATGATTGCAGCTTGAAATGTTGTATACCAATTTTCAGAAACCTTTGAGACTTGAGACCTTTTTAACCAAGGTGATTGTTTCCAAAATATGCAAAATMGGTTTAAATGTTAGTTCTAGGCTTTATCTTCCTTTATACAATGCAAAACAGATTATTTGAAAAATTATACAGTATTTACTTTCTGTCACTTATTGTAGYTCAAATCAGCATAAAGCAGAAAAGAATGTGGCCACCTTGATAGCAATATTTTTCTACTAATGTTATAATTAAAGATCAAATAATATTTGCCTTATTAATGTTCAGATTTTCACTTAGTAGATGCTAGAAGTAGAAATAGAAACATAGAATGTAAATAGAGCTTTTGTTAATGTAAGAGAACACTTTGCATGCTGTATCAATTCTACTACTCTACTAATATATCTTTCTTTATTGGAAAAGCTCCTTTCTACTTAAAGGTCTCATGTTGGCTTGTGTTTAAAGGTGAAGTTCCTCTGGAGACAGTTTGAGTTAAAAAAGATCTGGCATTTTTAAGGGCTTCTCTAAAACTAAAATCTAGGCCCTCTCTAGTTAAAAGAGCTGAATTTTGGATAGCCCCCAGGTATGAAGAAGCAGCTAAGGACCAAGTCCTTCCATACCTGACCATGATCAAAGAGAGGGCACTCTACCAAGCAAATGAAGCAAACCAAAAGCACCCAGCACTCTTACTGCATGGTGAGGCTTCAAGAGGCAAATCATGTTCTTCAGCTGCACCACAAAACTGCTCCACCTTGTTTGGACCATCACCAGCTGCGTGAGCAGTGAAGCAGGGATGTTTCCCTGGCAAGGTGCACACCTGTGTGTGGTAAACAGCATTAAGTGTCATTAACTGAACTGCTTGGATAGACTCTGTAGAGTCACTTCAGGCAAGAGAAAGGCAGAAGCACCTACTGGGGAAGTGAATGGCTGCTCAGGTGCTACCAAGCTTGTCCTTGCTGTGCTATCTCTGGCTGAAGGTAAGGTTGTTTCTTGGGGCAGGCAGAAAGCCATCTCTCTTGTTAAGTGGGCGGCATTCAGGCAGTCAATTTGTTTAATGTCTTGGCTGGCAGTGCTTCAGATTTGTCTGCATGTCTGACTGTCCTATGACAAAATTTTTCCTCATTTTTGAGATCCACAATGAGAAATTGTCATACAGCAGATTAACAAAAATGGCCTTTGTGTATGTACATATGGCCACGTACTGYATTAGGCCATATGTGATTACCGCTGAGACACAGCCAGAAAACCTGTTTCTTCAGCTTTGTTTTGAACGATGAATCAGAATGGATCTCTCTTAGTCATGGGCATCTGGTCCCAAACTGGTAGTACCTAGTCCCTCACAATGCTACCCTTATATCCTTAGATCTAGACTGTTGCTAGGGCAAATGCAGACAAATGATTCAGACTTCAGCCTGGGGAACTGAGTGAGCATAATGCTCCTGTAATCACATCCTTCCCCACTTAATTAGTATACTACACCTGTTAGGCTCAAATCAAGAAGCACTTTCTGGTTCCTATGTGAAGGTCAAACAATTGATGGATAAGGTAAATACAGAACCATTTTACAGTGGCGTAGAGGGTTAGAATTAATTTGATTTGTGCCCTTGTTACTCTGGGCATCCACTGCAGAGATTATCAGCAAAGGTATTTTATTGCTGTATGTTTAACTGTGAGGACTTTGCTTGGTAATATATTGTACTTAAGGACTACAAAAGAAGGTGCAAAAGCCTAAATCTCTTTTGAAAATGCCTTGCTCATTGCTTGTGGTAGTTCTTAAAATAGATCTCTCCCAATTTGAAAAACTTCTTCTCTCCTTCACAGCACATCCAAAGGTTTCTCATATCTTTTAATAATAAAGGTAGTGATATGAGTGAGGCAGTAGCAGTTTATTTTTCCAATTTAATATCAATTTGTTATTATATGTCATTTRGGAACATAAATGTGTTATTTAGGAACACAGGGTTTACAAGAGTATAGTGTGTCATGGTSTTTATCTCCCTGCTGTCCTAGTCTCTATCATCAGTTGACTGAGCTTCTCTTAAAAACTGGCCTTTTGATACCATGTAATTAATCTTGCTGGAAGGCTATGCCAAGGCTTCCCACTACAAGTTAAAAATTTCTTCTAATTGCCAGCCCTGCTATATTCCTACTATGTTTCCCTGCTTTCATGCCAAAAAGAACAAGGAGGTCAGCACTTAAAAATCCAAAGGTGTGGTTACTTAGTTGATATRCATTTAATTACTTCTCCATATATTTTATCCTTTTACTGGAGAAAAGGAGGAAAAAAAAGAATGAGAAACTTGGGAAGTAGTTCCTTACATGAGAAACTAAAGTGAATATTTTGCAAAATAGATACATTAGACTTGAGTTAATAGTAATGTTCCTTAAGGATCAGTCTTGGGACTAGTCTTTATTAGCTGATGCCTTTGTCATAAAACCAAAGAGTGTGCAAGTGGAATTTGTTGATAACACAAAATCACAAGCTACTAACACAAGGGAGTATCAGTGTGGGTGAAAAGAGCGACCAACAGAAATGAAATGGCAAGTCGCTGCAGTGATGTGAGTTTGTGTTATTAGGAAGTCATAGTAAGAATTATTGCTGCAGTCTGAGGTGTGGAATTTATTATATGGCCTGTAAGCTGWTTATTTGCTTCAGTGTGAGCTGCTGGGAAGAAGGCAAGATTTCACTTGGGATTTCTGAGCCAAAGCCAACGCAGCGTTGCTTAAAAAATCAGGAAATTGAGTGGGCTACTGTAAAGGCACAACAGAAGTGATAGGAATCTAAGGAATGTGGCTAATAAGGTATGGACTCACTAGCAAGATGCTTGTTGTCCGTCAGATGATGGAATACATAGAAATCTAAACAAGACATTTGTAGTATTGGAAAATGTGGATGTATAGACAGGAATATGTCCAAACACAGCAACTAAAGATGTAGAGAGCATGCACTGAACAGATTGTGCAGATAATGATTCTAGCTTAACATACGGATAGTATTAACTGCTAAGACTGAATGGCAGACTCATAGTAGAAGAGAATAAATAATATAGATGAATATATATATATATATTTTAAATTGCTTGGAGAGCTATATTTTTTAAGTCACCTCTGTCACTTCTAGGTTCTTCTCGTGCTCTTCCAATATTCTCATTTTGAGTGTGTGAAACTCTTTCTTATTTCTAATATATATTTCTGGAGAGTTCCTTCTCTTATATGGAAAAACAAACAAACAAGCCTCATAAGATTTAGCTCAGTCTGGCCTTAGGTAATATTGCAAGTCTAATGCTTTCCAGCTTTCTCTGATAGYCAATCTTTTTCTTCCATTCCTAACTGCTTGTATATCATTTCTTTGAGACATTTACTAAATTGATTATATCTGTCCGTTTAGAACAAAAATGAATTTTATACCTCTGATTTGAAGAAGTCTTCTTGATCCATGKGTTCTTCAGTCCGAGCTCTCCAACTTATTTTCTCTTAGTCTCTTATATTCCTRAAGTTTATTCCTTTAAAAATTGTGACCCACAGTAATAGACTCACTTTTCTTTACCTTTTTCATTTAGTCAATTAAACTTAATCAATTGCTAATCTCAATGTAGGGATACTTTTTTTTCTTTTTAACAATGTCTACTGCKTTCAATGAAACTGAAGGTAAGACAATCACCAAACCAATAAAAGATCAAATTATTTGATTAAGGCATCAGCTGCTTCAGCAGGGAAGCCTGGTTTCTAGTACTACCACTGTATTTTCTCTTTTATATATATCTAGAAAGTTATACCACCCACGTATACCTCAGAACAGCAACACAGTTGAGACATTAGGGTGTTCTCTTAAAAATATGTCCTGAGATTCAGATGTGACATTGGGGGCCTTTGTAGGCTGCACACTACCACAAAAGCAAGTGCATCTGTAAAAACTAGGTTTTAAAATTTCTTTTTTTTTTTAGTTTAGTTTCTATTTTTTTTGCAGTCTAGCATAATATCAGTTATTCCCTATTTTTTTAATCAATATGCTTCCTGAACAGGGCAGACCAGCTGCTGCTGTTGCTATTGCATCCTGATTCTCTGCTCTCTGTCGTGGCTTGTTCTATGTGCTGTGCAGACACTGGTAGCTCTTCCAGTTTATTGCGTTAGGCCTCTGTACTCAACTGGCCACAAACATCCCCCTTTGACTAAGGGCAGTCTTTCCACTATGTCAGGTCTCTAAATACTGTGTTTATCAATATAAGTAATTTAATTTTGCTGCTTATCTTGCTGTTCTTTGACATTTACATATCTATTGCTGATTTATCACCTACYTTGTTTTCCTCTCTGTATTTTAAAGTCAGGTACACAGATTACACAAAGTTCTACCAGACCTGGCTCTCATTTAACAGACTTTCTTTCRTAAAGGATTTTGGTAGTTTATACACTAGTTTAAATATCTCTAACTAAAAAAGATATTTCATGGTTTTGCAATAATCCTAGAAAAAGAAATGACYAAGAATGCCCTTGATCTGCTTAGGAACCAAAATCAAATTAATAAATCTTCATCATCAGTGGAGGCTAAATGAAAGACAAAGTGCACTGAATGTATCCCATTTCCTGCTTTTTGAATTTTCCTAAATCCCCATCCTACGAAAGTAAACAATGAGAGCACATGAGAACTCTTGGGTCCTGAAGATAGTTTTGATTATGTCTGGGATTATTCCCAGGGCATACAGCAGTAACTTGTTACTGGGAAATGGATAGGGATGATCTCTACAGCATATTCAGTGGTCACCGCAGCAAATAGTACAGATTGACCCAGAATTTTCACCGAGAGATCAATCTAATACCTACTTTGAATATAGCTTTTTGGTCAGATTCTGCTTTCTGATGCATGTGCACAGGCTGAGCTGATTTCAGTGTTTTGTTAACATAAAGACAAAATTTTCCCCATTTAGATACTCCTCATACAATAGTGATGATGGATAAAACTAAGCCATATTCCACGTCTGTGTAACTGCTAGGTCTTGGTTCATCAAAGAATATTTTTTCTTGTAGTAGCAGAACTGCTATATGCAAGATGGATTTGGGGAAGGAGGATTTATTTTATTGGACAAATCAAACCAGTTGCAAGCAGCAAACCAGCTTGCAGCTACATCTGACCTTCACAAGAAGCTTGAATTAACTTATGATGTGCCTAAAGCTTGCATGTTTTCTTCTCGTATCTGTATCAGTGGGTTAATTACTGTTGAGCAAGCTCTACAGCATGCAGAGATATTGTGCATACAGGAAATGGACTACAGAATGATTATTTATTGGTTAGTATACATTGTAGATAGCTAGGACAAATGAGCTACTAGGCTAGGCAGTGATAGGCTTATCTATCCTAATGAGGAAAAGATTGCTGACTTGACATCTTGTTTTTTTTCTTGTACGGCTTTACACTTTTTCAGATCACACTTTTTTCTCACAAATGTTTGAGCTGCTAAATATCACTGCCTTAGATATTATACTTCTGCTTGTAGCAAATCTTTATTGTTTTTATTATTTTATTATTCTTATGTAGTATGTCTTCATTTCATATTTCTGAAATCTTCCCAGCAGAAGATGGTAAAACTGAGCTCAGGTCAATAGGTCTCCTATTATATGGACCCAGTAAGCTGGGCTGAGGGTTACATCTTCTTCCAAACTGTGATGTAGAGAGACAAGAGGAGGAGAAATGTATCCTGAGATCTGCTCCACAGCTACATTCCCTGGCAATCTTCATGGAGAGATTGTATACTGACTTTCTTACAGGGGCAGTGAGGTCAGCCTGTCTTACCTGACACACTTTCATTCATTAGTAGTCTAACATGCCAGATCCCCAGCTGAAGCTCTTCCTCTTCACAGATCACCACACTATTTGCTAGTGTAAGCATAGCTGTTGTAACTCATGGTATCCCCTTCAGCAAGTGAAGGAGGAGCAGCAAAATGAGAACGTGAAAGTTTCTGAAGGTCACCAGAATGCTAGCAAAGGGCAATAGCTGCTATTGAATTATCATCCATGATAATAAGCATAAAACAAAAAGAGCAGATGAGAAAGATGTGTCCTCTTTGCTTTTTTTCTTTTTTTTCAGTTGCTATCTATGTTTGCACTGGAGACTGCTATGATTTTTTGAATACCCTAAAGGCGCCTGAAAAAAAACTGGATTATTTTTCTCCTGAATCAGCACTCTGTAGCAGATTGCTCAATACTATCGACTAGTTGAAATGCAAAATTTAAATGGCTTTTGCTTCTATTTCATATTTGCAAAAAATGCTATCCTCGCTAATATGAGGAATGCAGGGGAAAAAGAAGCTGAATTTGGGTTCAACACGTATGGTATTAAAAAAAATGGAGGGAGCGAGATTTTCATGAAATGAAGCACAGTTTAAGTTCTTAAATTATAGGCAAGAAATACAATATTCTGCATTTAATACATTGTTATCCTAAGTGTAGCTGTCTCTCATCCATTTTGCCTCGTGCTGAAAGTCTTCTGAAACCAAGTAACTTAACCACAAATTCCATTTGCACAGAGCCTAACCTGGTAATGTTCCTGGGATGAAACACGAATATGGGCAGGAGCTGGCAGCCAACATTCAACCCTTCCGAGGAGCTTTTACACATCTTGCTAGACAAACCCTCACCTGGACTTTAGTAATTTGATTGTTTTTTTTTCTTAGTAGAATGCTTGCAAAAGGACATCATTCACATTTACTTAATGGAGAAAGAGGGCTGTATTTTGGCCTCTTTGACACTGCAGTTTCTTGTAAAGTCAGCCTGTAAACCACTTTTGCAGGCAGGTTTGCACACTGCAGTGCAGAAGGCCATAACTGGATCCTGGATCACGCTTGCTAGAGTGAGCCAAAAGATTCCCCCTCCCTAGTTCCCCTCTTTGGCTCATGGCTTTTAAACATGCTTATTTGATAGCAGGAGCTAAAAATCCCTGAGTTGTGCCTGCTGTAACCCCAGACTAAGGCTTTCCAGCAGTGCAGAAGTGCCATAGCAAAGAAATCCCTAATATTTCCTGCTTCACTTTTGTTTTCTCACAGAGGTTGATGAAGAGTGGCAAGGATTTGATGAAAATATTGCCCACGTCCCCTTCACCGCTGAGCGCTACTCTGAGGCTGAGATGATTAAAAGGTCACAAGAGTTTTACAAACTTCTTAATAAGAGGCGGTCTGTCAGGTTTCTCAGTGATGAGCCAGTCCCCAGGGAGGTTATCGATAACGTCATCAGAACAGCAGGTATGGTACCGAATGGGTAAAGGTCTGCAAAATAAAAAAGAAAAAGACTATAGCATGACTGTTCAGCTCAGTTATAGTGCTGCACAAAAGCTGAAGGACTTAGGATGTGGCGGTTGCTTTCCATTTTCATTGTAACAAGAAGAAAAAAAAAAAGATTATTTCAACAGCATGAAATTTTCAATCTTTAAAATATGTTTTAAATATCTTCTTTTTTAAAAAAATGTTTATCATGTGGAGCTTTTGTTTGGTGTTTTTTTTCCTTAAAAAAAAAACAGAGATTGATCCACCCAAGCAAAATATTTTGCTAYCATGGATGTTTAAGATTTATCAGAGAAAAAAGGTTTTCTTTCCCCACCATTACTACAAATCCCATCCATTTCAACCTCAGTCCCTGATTTCTATTGTGTATGACTGGAGTGTTATGCTAAGGACCATGGTCAAGGTTACTTGAGTGAGTGTCAGAAATAAATTTTTATTTTTTGAGAATTCCTGTRTTTCAGATCATTATGGTAATGCCCGGGCCTAATCTCATCTCTATTCTAGCAATGTTGACTTCAGCGAGGAATGAATTTGACCCTCATTATTTCTTTTAATCTATGAACCAGCTGCTGTTAGTACAGCAAAATTTTCACAAGCTTCCTTAAAGGAAAGTTCAACAGCCTCTAACAGGATTAATAATAGAGATTCTTAGCATCTGAAGTGCATTATTTTTCCTTTAAAAACTGTATGCTGCTTTTTACTGCACATTTTTTGAGTCTCCATCTTCTTCTAATTAGCTGGGACTCATTAAAACACTAAACATGTTTTGGCAAATGCAGCAAAGTGAACAAGCCTGGAGTACAGATGAAGTGCTTTGTAACCCTGAAAGCTTTGTGGGGAGGAAGAGAAAACAAAGCAAAATATAAATGTCACAAGTAGTTATTCAATGTGAGGAGGGGCAAGGCTCTTGATTTAACCATGTAATATAAAAGAGAGTTTAAGCTTTTTACTTACAGTGTTTCTTAAGCTGAATTTAGTCCTCCAAGAAGAAAATATACAGTCTGCAAAAGCTTCCAGTATCTGTAAAATGTTTACAAGGGACTGGAAGACCTAAATGAGCTCCTTAACCTATTGCTCTGTGAGCTTGCACAGCTATGYATATTCTTCAGGTTTGGGCTTTCATCTGTTAGGCAGATAAAATGCCCTCCAATGGTGTTGCTGTGTGATGATCAGCATTGAAAGAGCAAGTGCAGACTGAGTATTTGCACACATACTTTCACCAGCTGTCTTTGGCACAACAAATGGGACCTGTATGTTGCATGGCAGATGTTTGCATCCTGCAGTTCCTCATCTTTGTCTGCAAGCAGTGGGTTCCTGTGCATGGCTGGTTAGCCTTGCTTCCCCAAAAGCCATTAGCTTTGCCCTTCAGCCAAAACCTTTTCTCAAAGCTGGCTGCATATTCAGAGGGTGCATTGCTGTGGACAGAATGTTTTGTGCTAACAGTTAAATAGCACCATGTTAATGTCTCATGCAAAGCACAGAGGAATTTATTAAAACGTCTAAGTTTTGCTTCCCATGTAAGGTGGCTATTTAAAGAGATCAACCTCTGTCACTGAATGGTATTTTATATTCTTCAAGATACAAATGAATAGCGATTGTGAGCAAGAGCTTATTTCTTCCCATTTTATCAACTTGCTTTCCCATTGCTTTGGTGGTCAGTCCCAAAAGCTATGAAGAAAAGCTGATACCTCTCCAAAGTAGGCCCTCCTCCAGCTTCATGCCCAATTTTCATCTTTTCCTGTTTTTGTGCCCAGGTACTTCACCCAGCGGAGCGCACACTGAACCCTGGACCTTTGTGGTAGTGCAAGATCCAGAGATAAAACACAAGATTCGGGAAATTGTAGAAGAAGAAGAAGAAATAAACTACAAAAAAAGGATGGGAGACAGATGGGTTAATGACCTGAAAAGACTGAGGTATAAAAAAATCAATTGCCTGAGTGCTTTGAAGTGAGATGGAGTTTGGTATAAGAAAGATTAGACTGAGAAATTATATATAGCTTCCCCTTTTGTGTTTTTTTTCCCCACATATTTTTAGGATGAAATATACCCTTAAATATTCAGCTCAAGTTAAACAACTTCGTTTTGAAAATTTTCATTCAGATCCATGTTTCTTTGTTTCCCCTGTTTTCCTGCTCTACATAGGAGGGAAGCAGTGATATATTTCACACTTTCTGATTACAGGAGAAGGAAGAAGTTGGGGTCAGAGACTCTCCTGGTCAGGAAGTTGTCAGAGTCTCTCTATATTGTGGCCCTGTGGTTTGCAACTGGGAAGAGGAAACTCTTTTCTGGAGAGAGTAGAGATCTCACCCAGCAGGAGCTCAATAAAAATGACTATCTTTATATTTTAATGCTGGCTGCCTTGTTCTAAGAGTGAGTTGAAAAGCGGTACTTAATGGACAGACACAGACACACACCTGTGTGCCTCAGCCTTATCAGAAGTGACTCGTGCTCTTATTATTCTGCAGTCATTAATGTTCAGCTCACATATGTCCATGTTACACACCACACAATCCTCTGTACAGCTTTGTCTTGATTCTTAAGATGACAGGAATCTTACTGAATCTTACTGAAAGTGCCACAGTTTAGAAAATCCAAGTGATACAAGAAGCTTGTCTTGCCTTTTTTTTTTTTTTTTTTTTTCTCCTAGCCAGGCCCTACGCAAGCATTGAATTAAGCAATATTTAATTGTTCCAAATATCTTGCAAAGTCTCATTGACTTGCTTAACTTCACATAACAAGAAGAAATCTATTGCTTGTCAAATGAAACATATGCAAAGCTTTGTAGAGTCAGTTTGCCCAACCTATTTCATAATGCTATTTATTTTCAGGTGAGCAAACATATTTGCTCAAAGGTATTTCTATATTTTGTATGAGAACAGTAAAAAAATCTTTTTTAGCTAAATGCTATATCCTTATTGCACATGTTCTCATAATACTGAATTAAGAATCAAATTAAGTCTAAAAGTGCTGAACTACTCAGAAACTGGATAATAATCTGTAAGAATATATTCAGATTAATACCTTAAACCAAGCAGTATTGAGTATTTTTGCCAGCAGATGATAAAAGGTGAGCTGCAGATCCACAGAATTCCAGGAGTTAAATCATCTCAAGGGCAAATGCTCATGAGGCCAGCTCATAGATAAGAGGCCAAGGTCTACCTCATATTTTTATTCATTTCCACTCTTCTGGGTCAGCACATCAAATCCATGGCTGAAAGTGTTAAAATGGAGAGTTCCATTGAAGTCTTTTTCCACAGAAAATTTCTGCTTAATATGATAATATCTAATTGTTTTCTATAACTGTTGTAATCTCATTTTTAATCTGGTGTTATAATTGTTGTATGCTTTTACTGCACCTCTGCTGGCAGCAAATGTGATTTATGGGAAAGTGAAAAGGTTGCAAAATAATTTTCTTAAACATTATCCTTTTGCAGAACCAACTGGATCAAAGAGTACCTGGACACTGCTCCTTATCTGATTCTCATTTTCAAGCAGGTTTATGGGAGACTTCCAAATGGCAAAAGGAAGACCCATTACTATAATGAAATCAGTGTTTCTATTGCCTGTGGTATCTTGCTTGCTGCACTGCAGGTACGTTGACAGAACTGGCACTCTGGGAGTCAGTGGGGGTCAAGTTTGTTTATTTTGCCCAAAGGAGAACTAAACCCAACCAATTTATATTTGATTTATATACATATATATATATATATTAGAGAGAGAGAGAGCGCAAGATAGAGAGCGAGCACTCCTCCGAAACGGCTCTAATGCCTGGCAATATATCTTAGTTTTGAGTTTTAAAGTCACTCTTTGAATAACTAATTCATTCAATCTGAATTAGAATGAGATTAGAATGAGTTTTCCTACTTAAATACTCAATCCTCATCACCATGAGACATGTTAGTGCTGGTTATGCCCAGGGCCACGTATGAGAAGGTGATTTCTGTCCTCAGTACAGGTTAACAAGAAGAAAAATGTGACACAGCTAATCTTGCAGAGCTGTCACTATTCTCCATGCATAGACTTCAGCATCTGTGATTACTGCTTTATCTTAGCAGTGACATGGCTATACAGTGCCATAGCAGCACCTTTAGAAAACCTTAAAAAAAATGACTTGACTCTAAATCATTTTTAGTGCTGGAATAAAATTTAAAAAAAAAAAAAAAAAGAGGGGCATATTTCATAGAACAGGCTGTACCATTCCCGTCAGTCTTTCTGATGTATTTCTGAAGGTGAACTGATTTCTAAAGCACAGCATGTTTGACATCAGCCACTTGGATTTTCTCAGTGGTTTCTCAGGGTTCAGTTCTGCTTGATACATCTCATGTGCTCACACAAGTGCTTAAATAGCAAAGCTATTCCAGTATTTAGTTTGGCCTGGCAGCAGGATAACAGCAAGATGCCACCTTTTGTATCAGGCCAGCTTCCTACTGGGAACTGCCATTTCTCCTCTATTCTGTACGGAGTGACAGTTCCCTGCCCACATTGCTGTTCTGTWGGAGGATCTCCTTGGTGCAAGATCTGAGAAGGGAGAAGTGCAAGAGCACATCATGGGGATGCTGCTGCTCTGCAGCTGCCCAGGGGGTCTGTGTTTTTCCTCCACGGATCTGAGGGCAAAGGAGATGCACAGGGATGGGGCAGAGCCAGCACTGGCTATGGTCAGAGGCTGTAGGAGTGCCAAGGCTCCACTGAACTCTGAGCAAGCCCAGCACATGAAKAGACTTGTGAGAATCCCTACCAACTGTTCAACTTTTTACTACAGTCTCCTTTGCAGGTCTTAGAAATTACTTGACAATATTAAAGAACACGGTCTCTGTCATAGACCCATAACGTTCAGCATCTCCACTACTAGCTGTCCCCCTCTTCATAAAAACATAGGTGTTACTTAATATGAGAGGTCCACTGCCTGAGTGTTCCAGCTATCTTTTGTATCCTACCCAAAATGTTGCATTAAATAGAGGAGACTAAAATCCACATGCACAACTCTTAGTATGCTCCTCAGCTAGGGGTAGCAACAGCTATTGGATAGGATTAGCCATCTAACTATTTATCAGATGATTTCACTTTTTTTTGTGAGATTTTGTATAAGAGGGTGAAGGATGCATATTTGGGCGTTCTGCTGTAAGGCAAATTATTGGCCACTATGGAAGGTGGCAACTGATTCTAGCTGATATAACTAACAGATGTTATATAGATGCTATAGATGTCAGGAAAAAGTTCTACATGGAAAGAGTAGTCAAGCATTAGAATAGGCTGCCCAAGGAAGTGATGGAATCACCATGCCTGGCATTGTTCAAGRAAAGTGTAGATGAGGCACTTAGGGACATGGTTTAACAGGCATGGCTATTAGTAAATCCAATGTTCTAAAGCCTTACCAGTCTAGTGAAGCAGTATGTCACAGGCTAGTCCATATGAATATGAGTACCGGGCTGATGAGATTCAACTGTGGAGCATTGACCTCCATTTGATTTCTTGTTCCTGATRAGCTGTTGCTATGCGGAGCACAGACCTCCGTGTCACTCCTGTTCCTGCCTGTCCTGTTGCAGAACGCAGGCCTGTACACAGTGACCTCCACACCCTTGAACTGTGGCCCCCAGCTGCGGGTGCTGCTCCAGCGCCCCGCAAATGAGAAGCTGCTCCTGCTGCTCCCGGTCGGCTATCCCAAGAAAGACGCCACTGTGCCTGCGCTGACCCGAAAGCCGCTGGAAGACATCATGGTGTTCATGTGAGCCCTGGGCTCACGTGCTCTTGTGTCTGTTAGTGAGCATTAGTCCTCTAAAGTTGTTGCTGCTTTTCCTGTGAACTGTGCCCAGTTTCCATCCTCCTACATCACTGCAGCTCTGGCTATTTACATCTATGTATCTTTTGGTGCTGGTAATAACAGCAGCTGCTCTACTAATAGCAAGCAGTCAAGAGATGTGAGTTGAACAGGTACTATATCAATGAGCCCAGCTGGACATCTGAGGGACCTTCATCACTTGATTTTTCCTTTGTACTCTTTGAGACAAATCTCTCCTTGAACTGGAATGTATCTGCCCCTAATATTTTTGTGATTACCATTACTCAGTTATTTTCAATTCAGAATGTCAATGGAAGTTGTAATAAAAGATATAAAGAGACCCAAGCAGCTCAGCTGTCTTACACTGCTCAGTGTGTGTTCTTCAAACATCCCTTCTTTTTTACTGTGTTCCATTCTGCATAGGAGGAAGATATTTTTCTCATATATAGTAGCATTTTCCCTACAAGRCTGAGTTCAAAAGCCTTGCTACAGACTTTTCTAAACTATTGATTTTTCAAGTYTCTTCAGATGTGGAAGGCCTAGTACACATACACGTATATATATATATCCTGATATATATATATATATATAATTTGTAAAAAGAATCCAAATAATTTCCTTGTCATTTGTGCGTATCCCAGACACAGTTAAATCATATGACATTATTGGCYAGGGCCCCTGTAGTAGTGGCCTCCCCCAAAAAAGAGCCAGAGTGAACTGTACTGCCTATTATCCTATTAACACTTTCAACTACACCAGTTTTATACACCTAAATTAAACTGCACTAGAGACTCTGATACAAAAGAGATGCTTTTGTGTCATGCCTGATCAGGYATACTCTGGTTTATTTTAAGATCACTTTTCATAAAAGCAACTCTCCCTATAAAGGCCTTGTCCAGCCTCAAGGTTTGAATGGATGTAGTGCATGGAGTGTGTGCTTGGAAAGCGCCTGTGCTGCTATTTCCGTGTTGGCAGAGCCCTCTTGTGGAGCTTTGACTTATTGGAGCAGGTTAAATTCAACAGACTTCAACAAACCTAGAATTTGAAATAAACACCCAGAGAAGAGATTAGATTAGCTTAGTTAAACCTATTCTGTTTAAACCTGTGTAAGCTTTTTTTGTACAAGGTTATTTCTAGTATGGATTCATAACTAAAAACCAAAGAACTAAAACACATTACAAATATATACCTCTCTATACCAAAAAAAGATTATTTTGTTTTCCTTGTGTTAATTCTAGGAATCAATATACACACATACTTGAAAAAAAAGAAGTGCACACACCTACTATAAGGGAGATTCTACCCAGGAAGGCACTTCCAGAATCCCAGAATATATATAAAAGTGAAAAAATATAAAAATAAAAACACTATTCAAATGCAAACATACCAGTAGTATTACAGCAGCTGATGATACTGTGGAGACTCACAAAGCATGTATTGGTGCTGCTGTTGTGACAAGCCTACTTAGAGCCACCAATATTCTCCAGTAAGYGTGCTTTTATTGCTTAGAAAACAAATGAAATAGGAAGAAACGTTGCCTTTCCCTGCAGAACATTTTTAAATAAAATTAAGGATGCCAATTAAATTGCTTTACAGTTAACTAAGAAATTTTCTTTTTTTTTTTGTGTAAGAAAAAATGCGTATTTTTGGCCAGACATCAGTCTATGCTAGGTCTATCACCAAATCCTGCAAAGACATCTTGAAGGCATCAGCCACTGGGGGATGCCAGTCCTGGTGCTCTGGCAACTGAACCCTTTCCTGAACTCTTCTCTGACTGTGATTGGAGCTGAGATACCCTCCGTACATGATAAAATCTCTTTTAAAGGCTGAGCTGGAGTGTGGAGGTGCCTCTAATTGAGGACTGACTGCTACCCAGACAGACTGCAGAGAAACCATGAATCTTGGGATTTGGGGAGTTCTCTAGCAGACATGGGCCCTCCTCATTGCTGGAGTCCTCCTGCCTGCTCCAGCAGCAGTGGGGAAGTTGCAGCCCTGTGGGCTCTGTGCTCAGCTGCACAGCTGGCAGCGCAGCCCTCCAGAGTGTCGGCCACTCCACCCAGCTTGGTGTCATCCACAAACTTGCTCAGGGTGCACTCCGTGCCCTCGTCCAGGTCATTGATGAACAAATTGAACAGCACTGGGCCCAGCACTGACCTCTGGGGGACACCGCTGGCCACAGGCCTCCAACTGGACACAGCCCCATTTATCACCACCCTCTGAGCTCTGCCATCCAGACAGTTCTCAATCCACCTCACTGTGCACTTGTCCAGACCACATTTCCGGAGCTTCCCCATGAGGATGTTACAGGAGATGGTGTCAAAAGCCTTGATGAAGTCAASGTAAACAACATCCATGGCTCTCCCCTCATCCATCCAGCCAGTCATCCCATCACAGAAAGCTATCAGGTTGGTCAAATATGACTTCCCCTTGGTGAATCCATGATGACCACTCCTGTTCACCTCCTTCTCCTTCACATACCTAGAGATGCTCTTTAGGATGAGCTGTTYCATCACCTTTCCAGGAACAAAGGTGAGGCTGACCAGCCTGTAGTTTCCTGGCTTCTCCCTCTTGCTCTTTTTGAAGACTGCAGTGATGTTGGCCCTCTTCTAGTCTTCCAGCACCTTCCCTACCCTCCATGACCTCTCAAAGATGATGGAGAATGACTGAGTAACAACCCCCACCAGTTCCCTCAGCACTATTGGGTGCATCCCATTGGGGCCCATAGACTTACGGGTGTCCAGTTTGCCTAAATAACCCCTAACCCAATCCTCCTCTACCTGCTGAAAGTCTTCCTCTCTGCTGATTTTCTTTCTTGCCTCTGGGCTCTGTAGAGACTAATGCTGAAAGACAGATTTCTGTGGTTCTCTTCATTGGACTGTGGGCAGTTCTGAACCCATTYAAGAGCTCTGACATTGTGTCAAGGAGGATTTAACAGGGGGCAATTACTGACATCACTGTTCCTAACTATCCTAGGTTTTCTAGACCATTTGACTTGATATCAGATGTCTGTRGTTGAATGACAGGGTGCACCACAACCCTGACCATATTAAAGGGTAGGTGTCACATCTTATTGGGTCTTGGAACTGTGGTTTTCTGACTGTATCTTCACTGTATTGATGCTTGAGCTGGCTTTGRTTTCAGATTATTTTAAAACACTGATCTATAATCTATTGTGATTCACCTGGTGTTTCATTAGAACCTCAGGTATATAGTGAGCAACATCCTTACTTCCATAACCCCTATTGCTGTCGTTCTTCCCACTCCTGGGAGCCAGAGCTTAACTAATTCTTCCAGAGTGTATGTGTTGCATTTGTTTGCTTGCTTGTTTCTAATCTTGGTGAATTAGGGTCGAAAGTACTGTGGACTTTGGTGCACTAGTATAAATTTCCATCTATTGGTAGGACCCAGCTATGTGATCAGATTACAGCAATGTAAGATCTAGCAGGTTAGCTGAGCTGCAGAAACCACTTAAGAACATGGCTTTCAGCTCAAAGAAAATGCTGGGCTGTGAGCAATGAGCTTGGCTTGAAAATAGGCTGTTACTTTCTGTCTGATGGGAGATGATAGCACAAGAAAGACTGCTGGGTCTGTTAAGCTGTGGATCAACAGCTGTATATTTGAGCACTTCTTACTATGTGGATTTATGCAGGTACCGAAGCAGAGCAAATTCTGGAAGGAAATCTACTGTGTAGCCCAGATGAAAAGAGGCATACAAGTCATGACCGCAGCTTGTGGTTTTGCATTGACTAAACTACAGCGTTTTCGAGACATCTAGGTTAATAAGTGTGCAGTCAGGATCTGGGTTTTTTTTTTATTTTTTTTTATTATTATTATTTTTTTTATTGCTACTTGGATCTTATGGACTCATGAAAATGAATCTGGAAGTCATTCAGCTCCCACTCCTAGGTGGCATCCGTTGTACCTGAATGCCACTTAAATGCAATCAGGGCACTGATCCATTGCTCTCAGCAAAATACTTGAATAAAAACTCAAAACTAACTCTGACAGCATATATAAGTGCTAGTAAGGATTTTTCCAGAAGGGCTCATTCTTGGCTTCATGGTGCTGACACTGACCAGACCTCCATGGACATCATTAGAAAGAGCAGTTGGCTGTTTTATTGCTTTTGAAGATTTCCACCCACCTGAACTTAGTCATCASTTCTGCTTTTACAGAACTGACATCGTATTAATGACTCATAACCCACAAGGCATTTCATTATTTCTTTGGGTAACATTACCTGTGCGAGACATATGAAAGAGCTGTAACTTTTCAGCCAAGTTTTTACATCATATGGATGGAACAGGGTAAATGATAAGACGAATACTTAATGATCCTTTCAAATTTAAGAAGGAAGAAAGCCCTCAAAGCTTGAGTCTGCACTGCAATAAATTACTAGCTGAAAAATTACATCATGGGACTGCAAAGATTTATGTATCTTGCAGAAGGCAATTATTAGCAATTCTTAGTGTGACCATGACCAAGATATTTGGTTAATAAGAATAGTGTGGTCTACCAGCTTCTTGTGAAGACCATGAATATGAACGCAGCATCACCAGCTGAGAGGGAAGCAAAAGCTTTTGAAATTCCTTTCCAGGGACAAATACGTTTGAACTACGATATAAAGCTCTCTTGCAGCAGCAGTCCATGATGATGAGAGGYAATTTGTAAAGCTATTGTCATTTGTTTTGTATAACCAATTTACTGAATCTATGTTCTGAGCATAGTCAAACTCTTCTACTCCACAGATCTTGAACAGTGTCTGCTATCCATTCATTGTGTGATCTAACTGCCATCTAAAATGATGAACTGGGACAGCTTTACAAAGACAGAACTGTGATGCAATAACCAGTACCTCACCAGTGCCAGTAGCCAAGATTAGTAATACATAACGCTTACTTGCATGGCTAATGGAGACTTAACATTTTCAGCATGGAAAGCTTTTTTTTTAGCTTCTTTTTTTATTTTTTTTTTTAAGTTGAAGAATTGGGGGTAGGGAGTATGAAGGCCTTGTGGCCTTAATTAGCAATATTTTAAACCATTGTATTTGCCCCTTTTTTAGTGTCAAAATCTTAGGTCATCTTCCATAGTAGTGTCACATTCATGCCCTAGTCAATTTGTTCTTCRGGTTTTACAAATGAGGAAAAACAAATGTAGAGAGATAAGCAGCAAATACTACCCAATGTCTAAATACTCACATAAAAATGAGAGCTTTCCAACACAGTCGTAGGAGTGTGATTTCTAGATTGGCCATTCTGTAGTTTCTCAGTTMTGAGCTG